CACACACTCTCTCTCTCACACACACACACACACTCACACACACTCTCTCTGTCTCTCTCACAAACACACACTCTCTCTCTCTGTCTCTCTCAAACACACACACTCTCACACACACACACACACACAGAGAGACACACACACACACACACACACAGAGACACACAGAGACACATACCGACACAGACACACACACACCACAGAATGATTTCTTTATGAACACGGGGAATCTGCAAGATGTCTCAGCAAATTGATTTGTCCAAGCATGTTTTCTTATCTCTTCAGGCAAGGACACCTTTTTAGTTCCAACTTTAAAAAACAAAAAGGGGGAGGCCTTTCAGGACCCAGGAAGTGGTCGGGAATACTCATTGTGAACTACTGCCATTCCAATATATTAACATTCTTATGATTTCCACAGGTGCACATGCTAGCTGGTACCTAGCGTGAATTTGTACAGAAAATTTAACAGAGAAGAAAAACAATAAGTTCCACTAAGGCAAGTGGAATATAAAAAAGGCATTTAAAAAAAAAGATAAAATTAAGGGATATTGAAATGTTAAGTATGAGCACACGTGGAGCTAAAAGTTGGGAAAATTACAGGTTTTGAGGTGATGGGGTTGTGGGTGGTTATGTGGACAAAATTAAGACGGATTTTATTAAGTCTATTGCCATGTCCCACAGCACAGCAGGTCCTTTATGGCAACATCTGTACCCGGGATGCCACAACGTTCTAGCAAATATTTATCACGCCAATCTCATACCATGCAGTTGGACAACTGTCCTCTTAAGAGGTGGCCCACAAGCATCTAATTAAATGATGACCACAAATTCAGATTCAAAGAGACCCAGTAGGTATTGCACACTGATGGACATCATGGGTTGAATATTGCAGCCAGAGAACAGTGCAGTGAAATTTACCTTTTCCAACATTCATTTAGGTCACAAATCAGACTCTACCTCCAATGGTACATCCTCAGCATTGGTTAACAATCAAACAGTCAGCACTTCAGCAAAAGCCTAATTGGAAAAAGCTCAAGAGAGGCCATAGAGTCAGCTGGTAAATTGAGAAATAAAGTTTTATAATTTGACAATGTTTACCCCTCACTCATTGATTAATGATTCACTGATGATTAGTGGCTGCCCGCTGACTTAATTCAACACAAGCATCTTTCTCTTCATCATCATGCTGGGAAGGAGTGGATGATGTTTTAGTTATTCTCAATAAAAAGAGAAAATGCTGAAAATCCAGACTGTACGAGGCAGCACTGAAAAGAAACATCCAGTCATTGTGTGGGAGACTGTGCCTCCTGTCATGATCTACTCAATATTACTTTGTCAAATGTTGACTGACTTCTGCATTTCCATTGTTTACTTTGTATTTTTGGCTTCAGATTTCCATTATCTTTCTTTGGGCATATATTTTAATTGTAGCATTTGTGCTTTTCATTTTTGATCCCCCCCCTCTGTGCAGGGGGATCTTATTTTTAGCTACACATTGCTCAAACTGTTCAGTCAATGCAGTTCTCTGATGATAGATCCTCCTATTTCTCCCCCCACCACCTCACCTTTCTGATATTGCCTTGATATTGGAACCTTGGAGACAATAAATTTTATCACGTGTACATAGTCAGACTCTAGGGTCCGGGCAGGTGTGGAGTAGAGAAAAGTGAGCGGTCAAAGTGAAGCAGCCAAATAATTTCCTCACACAACATTTCCCCACTCACTCCGCAGATGAACAACTGGGAAAAGTCTGTAGCATTTAACACCAAGTGCTTTGAGAAATTGTAAATGTGAGGGATTACTTTTGAGGTGTTTCTATTACACTGAAGCCTGCAGTACATCAGATAATGATCCCAAATTTTATCCTCTGTATTCATGGATTTTACATGACGAAAAAACTAATCACAATAATCACTGACCCTCACCTCAGTTCAGTTTCTATGCCTTGGTCAGTCTAATGTTGATGTTGAGAGTCTCCTATATTTTAAAACCAAGCAGCCAGCAGTAATGACTTTAATATTCTTGTTCAGGCTCCCATTTCAGTTTTCATTACCTCATGTCATTGAGTTTCATAATTCCACCAATCCTTTAAACCTGTTAAATGCAAAAGCCTCTTTTGTGAAGATTGTGACAGATTCATTTGTCATGTTCTTTGTGAAATACAAGTAAAGAGCTGAACATTTGCTTACCTAATACTCGTTCCCATTTCCTTCAGATAAATGTGTCCTTATTCTTAATTTTAGTGTTTCCTGCCCTTCCCGCATTCACACAATAATAACTATAGTTTTGACAACAAAGTCTGCTTTGTTGTAAAAGTGACAGAGTATGTGTCAAGTTCAAGCACAGATTGGGGTATTATAATTCACTTCTGCACCCTGTGGGTTTAGGAGGAGGAAATGGTTCCCAATTATTGGAATTGCACATAAAGACAGAAGTTCAGATCTGGTGACCCGAACTTCTGTGAGGAAGGCTCACCAGACCTGAAATGTTAACCCTGATTTTTCCTTCACAGATGCTGCCAGACCTGCTGAGCTTTTCCAACAACTTCTGTTTTTATTCCTGATTTACAGCATCCGCAGCTCCTTCAGTTTTTATTGGAATTGCATGTTGTTCGCAAGGTTGGGAAAGTCATAGAGTCATACAGCATGGAGACAGACCTTTCAGTCCAACCAATCCATGCTGACCATGTCCCAAGACTAAACTAGTCCCACTTGCCTGTGTTCAGTCCATATCCCTCCAAAACTTTCCAATTCATGTACTTTTAAATGTTGTCACTGCACCTGCATGCACCACTTATTCTGGCAGTTCATTTTGCAAAGGAACCATGCTCTGTGCAAAAAAATTGCCCCTCATGTTCTTTTTAAAGTTTCTCCTCTCACCTTAAAAAATATGCCCCTTAATTTTAAACTCCCCTATCCTAGGGAAAAGACCCTTGCTATTCACCTTATCTATGTGTCCCATAATTTTATACATCTCTATAAGGTCACCCCTCAACCTCCTACGCTCCAATGGAAAACAGTCCCAGACTACCCAGCCTCTTTTTATAACTCAAACCCTCCATTCCTGGCAACATCCTGGTAAATCTTTTCTGAACCCTCTCCAATATCCTCCTTATAGCAGGGCGACCAGAACTGTACTCCAGAAGAAGCCTCACCAATGTCCTGTACAACTTCAACATGACTTCCCAACTCCTATACTCAATGTCATTAGCTTTGATGGTCCGTTTTCTTTTCTTGATCTCCAACTCTCCCCAGGTTGGAAAACTCAATCCTTGTTAACATTTGAGTGGACTTGCAGAGTGCTGCAGAAGGCTATGGAATTCTATCACTGTCTCCCCACCTGCCAGATAATTTACCTATAATGAGACTCAGTGCCTTTAGTAATGTAAATAATGCTAATAACTTTCTTTTTTTCTTATTTCCCACTCCATGTTAAGATCTGCCTGGTTTAGGTAGCTTTTTAGTTTGGCTTTCTTGTTTGTGCTTAGGTGACATTGGTGAGTCATGAGAAAAAAAAAGTTAACAGACATAAATAGAACATTTATGAATACTATGAAGCTGGTATTTTATCTGTCATTGTACAGATAACATTTAACTAAAGTGACTTCATCTGACCTAAGATCTACACTTCAGGATTAAGCCAGAGATGAGATGGAAGAAGCAGAATCACAAAATGAAGTTTAATTCTACATTTTGTCAAGACAAAACTTCTCTACTCATTTATCCATCTATTTCTTGGGTGCATGATGGAGATTGTTTTCTTGAGTACTGAGATTTCAAATTCTGAACCTTGAAGACCCTTTAGAGGCCATGTTTGTTTATAGGAAGTTGAGGAGTGATTCCTTGAGTACTGGTGAGGACTGTGTTTGCAAATTGGTCATCTGCTGCTGGTTGTTCTGTGTAGATTTTGTAAATATTTATAATTTGAATGTGTTCATTTTTGGGAGATGCTCAACGTAAACATGAACAACATAAGAGCCAGCTTTGGAGGTGCAGACACCTTCTTTCAAGTCTGGTTGTGTTGCTTACCTCTCTAATATCTTGAAGTTTCCATCTCCAATAAACAGTGACAAAGTACACCTTATATTACAATTTACTTATTTTCTAATTAATCTGTATGTTGGCAAAGTTTGTTTCAAATATACCTTTGAGTGATCATATCAGTGTAGCTTTAACAGAAAAATCAGCACAAATTGGTACCTATACAGTATAATTTTTAAACTTACATATGCACAATAGTCACTTGGTAGTACAGAATTTGAATATCGCTGAAAGGAGAGAATATTGCCAAAACCTCCTGTCTTGCATTCATCAAGGCAAATGCAAGAATGCCGAATTTCAAACAATCACAATAATTTATAATATAGAAGAAAAAGGGTGCTGAT